TATATATATATATATATATATATATATATATATATATATATGATTATTTTTTATTTTTATCTTAATTTTTAAATTTATTTTAATTTTTATTTATTAAAATATTTATTTATTATTTATCTTTTATATTTGAATTAATTTGATTCTTTTAAAATAAAGATATTTTTAATTTTATGACATAATTTTAAATTAATCTTTTATTGATTTAGGATATCAAACTTGTAATATTATATTCGAACTATGGAATACAGTTAATATTTGAATCCAAAAAAATTATAAACATAATAAAAATTATGTAAAAAAATATATTTCATAAATAATTAAAAAATAATATTAAATTAACTTTTCACTATATTTATAACATTTGATTTGAACTTCAATTATATTTAATAGTTTATATATAAAGTTTCAAGTTTTGAATCATTCGAAAAGAGATTAAAAAAATTATAATAAATTAAATTTAAGAGATAAAAGACTTAAATGAATATTTTTAAAAAAAAATAAAATAAATCTAAAAATTTAAAATAAAAGAAAAAAAAATATAATTTGACCTATTATTTAAAATCAATTGTGAAAAGTTAAACATTTGAATTAAAATAGGATTCAAAACCAAAAAAAAAAATCTCGATATAAATTTTACCGTCAACTCCTTGATATCGTAAAAAGTTTAGATCCTTAAATTTTATGGAATGGAATATTACATACTTGAATTAAATTGGATAATTAACTGGTTAGAGTCAATTTTTAGTTGTTAGTTACATCAGCTACTACTGTATATTAAACATTTTCAAACCAATAAGTTAAATTTGCCTTTAAAATTATGAGCATTAACCAAAAAAAAGTTATTCATAAAATATTTTTGTTTCTTGAAGTTTCTAATTTGTCATAAAATTATTATTTCAGTATTGAAATTATAAAACAATTGTCATTTTAATTTGATTTTTATAATGTTAATAAAAAAATACAGAAAAAAATTACAACAACTATAATAAAATTCGAATTTAAGACCTTATCTATTATCCTAATTCTCTTGTCTCCCCTCACCACTAGATTAAAAATTAAAATAATCGCTGTTCATTAGTAATTTTATGAACTAAAACATTTTTACAATAAAGCAAAACTCCCCACTGTTGCAAGGTTAAACTATAAGAAGTGAACTAAAACAATTTCAAGAAAGATTTCATATAGATAACATCACTGAAATTTTGGTATTTGACCGAGTTGAATACTATTGTGTGATTAATGCAACTCACAGGTTTGTGATTATTTACTTCAAGATTCAACTCAAGTATCAATTTCTCAACTGCATAAAATTAAGGGTACTATAAAATTTGGCAAAATTTACATAAAAAACAAAAGTCACAACTTAAAAAACACAAAATTACAAGATCCTCAATCAAAAGCTCATCTAATGGTAGAATTAAGAGTCCTTTAACTCCACATTGGCCCAACATATCGCATAATAAGTACCAATACCACTTTCCATGTGACATACAAACGTAAATGACATTAATTGATGTTGATTTACGATTCAAAATTCAATAGCCACATACACTTGGTCATTTAGGTGGCCATATTGAACAAAAAAGTCATCAAAGATATTATTATATTCCATAATTACCTCAATGCAAACTTCAATATTGCATACCATTGAAGAAGAGGCAAAGATTAGTGATGAATTTTAGGTTAAACTGTGGCATGGTAAAGCAATGACAATTATGAGTGAGCAGTGAGCACTAAGGAAGGAGAAGTTGGTGAGACATTCATGCAAAATTTATTATCAAAATTATTGATTCTGGAGTAGCAATGAACATCCCACTCTTGGTATCTCATAGTTTTGCCACTAAAGTTCTTGCCCATTTGCCTTCAATTTTTTGTATGACTCTTATTAAAGATTGAATATATTTTCATATAACCTAGTCTAGCCGGTGTACAAAAACCTAGACACAACTTGTGTAGTTAAACTCTGCTTGTTGGTCCTGTTCCTACTAACATAGACAAATTGGTTCCTTAATAAATTGGTACATTGAAGTAGTGATGCAAAGTTTAGGTTCATTTGGCTATATAAAGAATGGCATGGACTGCACCTTGAAAATCTCCCATGTACATTCAGGCACGCAGCCCATGTATATTGATGCTTATCTTCTTGATACAAATTTTAATATTTTATATCTTAATTTCAAAGGGAAAATTGTGTCTTGTTAGTATTGCCTGGAAAGGCAATGCCCCCGAAACCGTTAAGTTCTGGGATTTTGTTTTAATTATTATCCATATGTATCATGATTTTTTAAAAAAAAATTAAATGATACGTGGTGTACGATGGAATTTCGCATATGGAGAGCGTCGGTTCATCCAGTATTACCAATAAAAGGATAGAAATCAATGTTTTTAAGACCAAATGAGTGTTTCAAATGGTTCAACTAGAGTTGAAAGTTGAACCAGTGATAACTAAATATATTTTTTAATATTATATAATATTGAATAATAAACTAATATAAAATATAAGAAGTATAAGTTATTATTTAACAAAGTTAAAGAAAAATCATATTACATGTTTAACTATATAAAAAGTTCATATTGCATAGTTAAATAATAACAATCTATTTGTACATCTCATATATAAGCCTTGATTTATTCCAAAAAAAAAAATCTAAGAACAAAAGGAATTTTTTTTTATATATAATTTGGTTTACATTGGTTTGGCACTAGTTCTTACCCACTTTACCACCGATTTTGAATCAATTACTTAACCGATTACTAGTTCAAGCAGTTAAATCATTTGGTCTAATCCGGTTCCCAAAATCATGACTGGAACTTGTACGAGTGCAGGGCAGAGAAAGTTGAATATAGCCAACCAGTTTCTGTATTTTGCCGACCAGGAAAAAAAAATCCATCGTTGGTCACAGTATTTTTCATTCAGCTTTTGCTTTCAATAGATGTTTCTTTCTTTCAATAATGAAGTAAACTTTGGCACATAGTTCTTCTGTAGAAACATGAAAGCAGTAGTCAAGTTGGATGCATTCTGTTCTGTACAGATGCTCACCAACCCTACAATTCGTTTGACTGAATTCCATTGTTTACGGGCACAATCCCATTCAAAATGTCCGCACAAACATTTTCTTTTCTTTTTATCGGTTAATTTTGGCTGAGGTGAAATAAGAATATCACTTTAGAATTTAATGTTAAAAAAAAGGATATAACAGCTGAAGTTTAAGAAAAATAAATGATATCAATGATTGAAACCATATGAAAACTAGTTATTAAAATCAACTACTACTGCTTCCTCTAAAAGTTAAGATGAAATTCATTCAATGCATCCTAGCTGGAAATTGATTAGTTCCCCGAAAATAGACTTTATGACACTTGTGGTATAACTCTTGAGCTGCCCAGCCAAACACTATCATTGTCTTGCTTCAACCTAATGAACTCAAATGAAAAGAATGCTGTTTCAGTCTTCACAACTCCTAGTGTTAGGACTTACGAGCTAGTTACTGATAAACAGCAGCAGCAGATCTAAAACTCCAATTCCGGTGCCTCCCTCATCAAAACTACGATAGAAAACAAATATTCCAAATGTAAACGAATTAAAGTAAAAAATGGTTCTATTTTCTACTCAAATGGTAAGTTGACTGTTCAAGTTTCACAATCTGAAGAAAGTTGTTGGTTAGGTATTAGAAATCCTTTCAGAGACTTGGGCAACTATAATAAACAAACTATTATGAACACGGCAGTGTTTGATACTACAAGAAATGTGACTACTGCTTTTTTTTTATAATGAAGTTCTCCTCAGGCTGCTTTTGCCAAAAATAATTTGCAGCCTCTATCCATCGGGGATGAACCAAGAACTTATTTTCTTTCACTGCCCACCGGGACTTCTCGGTTCCAGCATCAGTACCAACTACGTGTGTCACAGAGGAGTTAATTTCTGTCAAACAAGTAGCTCCCATCTGCTCCGCCATCTTCTGCAGAGATGGTAATGCACCATGAAAAATACGGCTGAAAACGATCACACATCCACTTAAGACTTCACTTCGAACTGACGACAAAACCTAGAAAAAATGTATTGATTTCAGGACCTCATTGAGAGAATCTCACATTAGGATTCCAAAATTAACTAAATATTTCCACAAACAATGCTAGAGACACAAGACAAATAAATATGAACAACATTACTACCTGCCTCACATCTCGGTCAACAAGATCTTCTTGATGTTTCTACAGAAGGTTCCGCACCACACAATTTTAGTATTATATCAGAAACAACAACCATTTAATCAGGATGACATAATGAAGGGTGACATACATCAAAAAATATGCAATGGACTTGCTTGAGCACTTTGAGAATTTTAGCAAGTGCTCCATCAGATTCATCTTCATCGCTCTTCAGTTCGGCAAGGGATTTGCAATTGAAACCAAACTGCCGACAACTTGAAGCAAAAAAATGGTATCTTTCCATCAGTATCAGATTATCTTTATGCTTCATCCATGCCTGCAACATTTTCAGACATCCCATTAAAAGGAGTTGATTTTAGTTTATAATCCAAATGACAAAGAATGGCACCTGAAACATTAAATGGGTACAATTAGCACATTTTAAAGTCTCGAGGTTTCTATATAGAAAATGAACTTTGCAGGGATAATTAGAGTCAATCTCAAAACAGAAATAGGAACCAATGTTAAACAATAATCAGGCAAACCATTACACCAAAACCCTCAAAAGAGAAGACAAGCCATGACAGTAATAGTAGTTTAAGCACTTTAAAATTAATTCTCCCCAGTCAAACTGCTATATAAGCCGTCTTCAAAGCCTTTGGGAAGGGGCCATGTGTCAACATCTTTAGACACAACATTCAAACATGTACTCATAGAAAGAATAAAAAGTTCAACCATAACGAAATAACACCTGTATGCATATAAATGTCAAAATAATCTGATGTCTAAACTGTAATATTAATACATATCAATATAAATGAAAACAGAATTATTTTATTTCCTAAAATTAACACAACTCAATAGACACCACCAACAGGGAATGAGTGGAGCCATAGTTCCTCATCTTCGTTATAAATTATTGAAAACAACATTGCAAAGTAAAACTGATTTGAACATAACTAAAAGGAAACTATTTTTTTCTTGAAAGTAAAGACAAATAAAAAGTTTGAAAATGCTAATATGACAATTTGATGTAGTCACTAGTCAGCTCCGTAAAATGATTTCCAAAAAACCTTGACACGCAGGTGTACAGGACACTAGCTATCCTTTTCTTTTTTATTACGAACTCGGACTAATTAATAGTCATTCTAGCCCCACAAAATGCAAAAAGGTAAGTAAAACTAATTCCTTCCTTATTATTATTATGTCCCCACATTTATTCATTCATAGTATACAATTATATTTCATTTATTTTGTCCCAATTGAAACATTTTCATTTAGAAGTTGTCTGACCAAAGTTGTGAGTCTTATAAGAATGCTTTTAATGAATGAATAGGATGCATGTCTTTCAATGCCACTAAGCAATTGAAAAACAGTACTTTTCTTCCATTATAACTAAATTATTATAAACAAAACGAAATTGACTTCATCACATATATGCCAAATCATCATGTTGTTCATATAGGTAAAAAGAAAAGCATTCTAGGGATGTCTTCTACATAAAATAACTATCATCAAACATACATTCCAATTAAATACTCACAAGTACAAGTCAGAAACTAGCAATGAACTCACGTGTTCTGTATCATCAAGAATTAGGACTGCACTTTCTTGCCCTAACACAACATCAAGACCTTTTTGACGCTGTTGAGTCCCATCATCTCGAGAAATAACTTTAGCATTGAAATATTTTCCTTGAGGATCAAGTAGCTTAGCCATCTCTAATGCATAAGGCCGATCACCCATAGTATATATGTACATCTCAAACATTTCACTTGCTTCTTTTAGAAATGGGCGGACAAAGGGCCTCAACTTGGTCATCATATGCATATGCTCCAATTTGAAAAGGCTACCTTTGGAGACATCTGTCATTTCATTATATACAAGTCAAGAAAGACAACATATATAAGAAGCCAATAAAAACCCAGAAAATCAAAGCTGAAATGAAGCAAAAGTTATCAGAAAATACACACAGAATGAACTATACAAGTGAGTAAGGTAAGAATATCATCTCTCTGTATAATTTCACCTACTGTATCTTTCCCTTTTCAGACAGTTTCTATGACAGAAAGCTGTCACCATTGTGTAGCTGTCAGTCTGTTATATCAAATAGGTTAGTCTCTGACAATTACAACTGTCACATCAAGTTAGTTCTGACTCAGCCTATATACTCCTTTCGATCCTTTATATAAGAAACAAATGGTTACACTTTTTTGGTCCAAATTATAAGAAATAAATACCTACTTTAAAATGTATCAATTACTAATTTCTTTTAATACCCTCACACGAGTGGATGCATTTATTAATGCATTAACAATACAAGTTACACTCATTGGTGGGACAAGTTATCTCTTGAATTAGGTGTAGTGTGTCATTTAATGCTACTACTATTTAAAGAATCAATCCAAAGGGTATTTTTGGAATGAAATTTAATTCTATGACATTATTAATGAAAACTAACCATCTTAACTACTTTGATTGATTTTCATAAATTAGTACTTATTTGTTTCTTATATAAAGGGTCGGAGGGAGTATTTCATTGTATTGTAATGTAACAACTGAACAGTGTGATGTATCAATCCTTTAGTTTGACAAAATATTATTCTCTTTCTCTCATGTATTCTTGAAACAAGAAATTAATTTTAAAAAAATACAAGAATTTAAGTTAGCATGCTAATCTATTCAAGGAACTCTCACCTGTATAAGAGATGCCATTTTTAGGACAGCATGATTCTATTCTATTTATGACATAATAATGTGTTACATGAAGCATGGTTGTTGCAATTGTTAAAACAACAATATATTATCTTTTAGCAACCAAAGAAACATGAATGAATCATTCTTTATTCAGCCCAAAATTTCAAAACAGTATTAAGGACAAGTATATACCATTGTGTTTCAAAATGCATGTTGGAAAGTCTCAAAATCCATTCAAGAACCACAATTGAAAAAATAGACAAAATTGACTCATTCATTCCCCTGCCACACTTTTATTACAGTATCAGTAGCTTCAGTAACTAACGACCCAAGTCCAAAGTATAAAATGCAAACATTCCAGTGACAGATTATCTAATCACAACATTGATTCAAAAAGCAAACATTCTTATCTAGCATTCATGTCTATTGTTCTATATCAAGACAAAATTGCACCAATAAAATAGACTAATTGATATTTGATATCAATGAAATGTGATAAAAACAACATAGACAGGAGATAACACTTTCTGTGTTAAACAAAACTGCTTTTAGAATACCAATTACTGAAAGCAAAAGCATATTTGTTTACACATACCTCCTAGAGAATCTGTCTGGTTAAGTAAATACGACTCTTCTGAACTCAAATCAGCAAGGTGAGTGGAATTTAACAGTGTGTGATCTAGGTCAAGAACCAAGTAGAGCTTTTTACGACATAACAAGCTCTTCATGTCTGTATTGCGCAATCTAGAAATTTCCTCATCATGCAGTCTCAGTCCCTGCAAATACAAAATATTCCATCATTTTTAATAAGATATTATTTGACTAAACTAGATAGATTGGCTACGTTATGTCTACCAGGCTGTCCATCATGCTAACCAAATCATGAAAATGAATATAGGATTTTTATATTAAAGAATAAAGGCCAGAGAAAATGTTATAATAATGTTTTCAAACCAACGTCATCAAACTCTGGTGGCACATATAATCCATAGATTCAACTGTATACTTACATTACATACGAATGCCCCAGCACAACATATTTAAATTCTAATAGGGATTTCAATAGATAAATATATTCCAAATGAACTGTGCAGATGCAAAAGGCTCACCACAACACTTTTTTGTAAAAATACTAAAATCAATAACCACCATTAAACCAGGAAATCACTACTTCACATACTACAACTTATTTCGACTTGATCTAACAGTTACGCAAAATCTGTGCCATGCAGCAGCAAATATCCAAAACTAAATTTGTAATTCCACAAGATAGCCATCTGAAACAGCTTATACCTTATGTATGTACCCAAATGTCACACCGGCTTCCCCATCCAACTTTTGCCCACAACGTATACACATATTTCCAAAAGAGCCAGGATGGGTACATGCATCTACCTCCGTAGATGCCTCTGCAACAACAAAGAAAATTACAACACTTTCAAGGCAAAATGACAAAGTTATACAAGAAAGAACCATAATAATAGTTGCACAAACATGAGAAAAGATTGTGCAGAATTGGAGTCGTTACAATTTTGAAGTCATTTATTATCTAGTGGCTCACAAAAAAGGTAGGGTGGGCTTTAAAAGGAATCTGTTACTCTATAAGAACTGACAGTGTCACTGTGTCAGTAAAAAAAGTTCTAGGTGAAGTGGAAAAATAATTGTTTGAGTAAAGCAAGTTACAGATGGCAATGCAAGTTAGACAAGCTTAGGTTCAGCCAGTGAAATAGTTCAAGTGAGGTTTACACAGATAAAACCAAAACGTTATGAAACCCTACATTAAAAATTAATTTGTTTGCTCTGAAAGAGGAACAGTGTATGAATAAATTTCCTGCAAAGATAATGAAAGAAAGAACTAAAACAATCAAAATTACCTAAATTTCGTTCAATGATTCCTTCTGAAGTAGACCCCTTAGTTTCCTCAATGCTTTCAAATTTACGCCTTTTAATTCTGCTTTAATTCATAGATTAAGTATAACTGTGAAATATGATAAAAAATGAAGCAAGAAAAACAAAATCATAGCACTATCTCTGAGAATGCCTATGCAACACAAATGAACCAAATCCATGAACCCTAAAATATCAGTCATCCCTCTTGAGTTTATGCAAATTTGTTCACAATTCCACAGACCAGTCAGACCACTAGTAAAAATAAGTTCATAACTAGTAATAATATACATTCAACAACATAATTGACAGGGAGGGAAAGAAGGATGCAGTCAAGATCCCACACACATTACCTAGACCATAATTTCAGTGTGCCTCCTCTAACTATCATATAAACAATAATGCCCTGATGTCATTAAAAACTCTCATTATGATCTTTTATTATTTTTCAGAAACAAACTATCAATCTTAGAAAAATAATTGTCAATTCTCGATACTGACCTGTGATAAAAGAAAATCCATTTAAAAGTAGCTAACAAACAACTACCTAAGCTAGTAAGCTATAATCATAATTATCAATCCTGAATACCAATGCATAGTCGCTGACCCCAAAACCATTACAGTGGGACAGCAGACAGTGGGATGGATGCCATTAGAAAATTTTAGACGTCAGTTAAAAAGTTCATGGATAAATGTATATACATGCTCAAATATTTAAAAAAAAATAAAAATAAAAATAAAAAAATCAGAGACATTTATATGCTGGCAATAGAGAACAAAGATCAAAGATGAAATCATGAAAGACCTGTTAGAGAAAGAGAGAATGCTTGAGCAGTAAAGGAGAGCCAATTTGGCAAAAAATGAATACAATAAATAAGAGTTCAGTTCTGTTACAAATTACAATATATAGATGCAGAAGTTGAACTCAGTTGATGTGACAGATGTAACTGCCACCTAACTGTCCTAATAAAATAACAGCTCTACAAAGATGTCAGCTGTTACACAACCTAACTAACTGAGATATAATAGGAGAGATACACAACAAGTGTACAGAGGAAATGTATATCCTCACAGGGAAGAACAAAGTCAGAGAGCAGGGAACAGTGAGAGTGAACTGAACAGAAACACTGAAACAGCAGAACAGAACACCAGTGATATTGCCAAAGAACAGAGCAACACCAGAAATACCAGGAAGGTGCCACAAAATGTCAGCAATGGGAAGAGATACAGGAAAAAGCACCAGAGTAATGGGACATGTTTCAGAAACATAAAGGTGCATGACGTATTTAGAATAGGGCTTCAATTTCAAACCCAGAATAAGTGAAATCACAAATAGTCCCCTAAAACCCTAAAAGAACACAGTATTGTGGGCATAAAGAGGGGTTTCAACCATTAATCAAAGTTTCACCAATTGATGCTCTAAATTCACACATTTACAGTGCTATAGCAGCTGTAATAGCCACACCATGAAAATGAGTAGTGGCCTAGGGCTGCAACAAAATGCTCCACCACAATACCAGTGCTATAGTGCGGAATCACCACCTATGACTAGAACTGAAATCTGAATCACCACAGTACCCTTAAAAAGACAAAAACAAAAATAAGTGTTGTTCAACTAGATGGGGTCAATAGTCAGCCCTATGGATTAATTGAATGCTGTTGCACTCTATCAAAAACCAAATTTTCATTAAAACCACCAAGTCATCCACATATGATATATGAACATCACTCACACCTGATAAACTTCAATATATTTATAATTTGTGAATCACAATTGACAACAGCCGCTTAACTCACCATAGCACATATAAACATATAACAATAACAAAAAATAAAACAGGTAATGAAGAGCACCTGACACTCTCAAGATCATCCTGGTTTTCGGCTTCATCATCTGGTGACAAGTTGGGTGAACTTGCATCTAGTTCAGCATCAAGAAATGCAATGAAGTCATCACTGCTGGACGAATGTACAGGAGAATCGGCAACAACACTCATCTGCGTCAAAACAAACAAAGACAAATTCAGAATGCAGTGATGCAAAGTGCCTTGAAAGATGAGATTTTATCACCAACAAATACTCCTGCTTGAAACAAACTGGTCTCTTTATTCAATCTCATTTTGTATTATTATGATATGTTCTAATTTGCCAAGAGCATAAGCATTATCACACTACTAAAATTGCATCTTTTCTGAGTTGACAAAGACAAATAGAGTAGTCAAATAATTAAAAATATGCAAGACACACATTAATTTGCTAATGTATGGTTAGAAATCTAGCTAGCTTCTATCATGAAAGCTTCTTGCACATGTATTTTTATAAGAAAAATTGCAGGAATTTCCTTAGACTTTTGATTTGCATAAACATCCACAAAAACATCTTACCATTTTTTATTTGCAAGTAAACCCGTAGATATTTCCTGTGGGTTTTCGTGCGTAAGAAAATCCACAGAAAAATAGCATATTTCTAATAGTGTCATTGACACACACAAGAGCACACAAACCTTGTTATTAAAAATACTCATTAACAACGAGGGTTCACTTTCTCAATCTCACATTCACAAACCCCATAACACACTATTCAAATCGCTGTTTTTTTTATCACATAACACAGAAGCTTCATCTTCTTCTTTTCAGCACTCATTCTCATGTTTTTTTCTTCTCTCCTCATCGTAAAAGATGTATAATCCATCATATATGCACGCATACACACTATCCAATCACTAAAATGGATGATGCATAGCACAACACATACAAACTGGCACTCTCATCGAATTTTCTTTCTGGCTGAACAACACATACAAAAAGAGGACACTAGTCAAAGAATGGTGAAGACAAGGAAATCAAAAATGAAACCCTTATAAAAATGAAATCAAACATGAAATAAAAAACAGAAATTAACGAGATAGAAAATGAAACCCTAGATCATAGAGATGAGAGAGTGGTTTGAAGCAGCACAAGAGAGAGCGGAGCGAGGGTTGCGCGTGAGTGAGTCGTGTCGTGAGAGAGCAAGAGTCGTGTCTCCAAACATGAATTTCAAACTATTTATTCTTCCGAAAAATAGCCTAATAATCCAAATCTTATATTTATTTTAAAATATAAAATAAATAAATAAATAAATAAAGATATCCAAATCTTATATATTAAATTCAGATAACTATATCGCACCAGAATACTTTTAAAACTATTTTTTATTGGAAAACTGTAGAGATTATTTTAACTTTTAATTAAAATTATTATTTTTCATATTTACTTATGAACAATTATCTTGTATCATAATATTTTTTCAGATTATTCTTGGATTGAAGTGTTTTAAAAAAATCTTTCAATTTTTTTTATCTAAATTAAATTTTATTTATTCTATTTATTTATGAAATATATTTTAATATTTTAAATTAAATTTCAATATTTAAAAATAATTTCGTATTATGATATAAATTATTTATCTTAAATCTAAAATATAATTTATATGTTTAAAATATATATTGTATAAATTTCAAATATAATTTATACATTAAATATAACATTTATTTGTATATATAATTATAATGAGTTATTATAATTTTAATTATATATAAGACTTAAATATGATTTTGGTCCCTCAAATATAATATATGTGAGATTTTGATTTTTTAGATTTTAATTAAACAATTTTAGTCATTTAAATATCACAGTTTGCAATTTTATTTTTTCAATTTTTATCTATTTAAGTTTCATATATTAGTAATTTTAGTAATAATAAATATATAGTATTTAACATATTAATAAAACAATTATATATAAATATATGTAATTTAGTTCAATAATTTTACAATTACAATACTTAAAATACAACTATGATATTTTAATGATTTTAAAGTTATTTGATTAAAATTTAGAAAATAAAAATTACTTAATTGCAATACTTGTAAGATTAAAATTATTTGAGGATAAAAATGTAATTAAATTTATATATAATAAATATTTAGCCAGTTAAATACATAAGTTAAAATACTAGTTAAATTTTTAATCTAAAAAAATGTACTTAAATTCTTGATCTTTTATATTTTTGATAATTAAATCTCTAAAATTAGTAAAATTATCACAAAATATTATTTCTGTAACGTTTAAAAATCACCATAAATTAATTACATGAATTAAATTTCAAAAAAATATAAACATTAGAAACTTAGTTACATACTTTTGAATTTTGGAGACATAATTAAAAAAAATTCAAAACGTTCATGAATCAATTGTATATTAATCTTAAATTATATAATTTTTTTTTATTTTTTAATTTTACAAACATATAAATATTTATATGAATATCTAAATATTTATATATATATATATACAAAAATAATAATAAATTTTGATATAATAACAAATATTATATCAATTTAATTTATAAAAATACATATTAGTAGAATATTCTATTAATAACATTAACATTTATTTTATGATTTTTGATCCTATTTATATCAAATGTTTCATTAAAATACAATTATTTAATTACGATCAAATATATAATAGGTAAATAATATTGGTAGTTAACATTAACCCAAATAAAATTGTTGTATATTAAAACAAAAATTTAAGTATTTATTAATAAACTTAAGTATTAGAGGAGATTGCGGCAATTCAAGGTGTTGCACAAACTCTTATACTTGTTAGGCAAAATTAGGTTAGATTGAATTAGGCTTGTTAGTTTTTAATTTAATTTTAATTGAAAATACATTGTTTGAATATGATTTATTTGTTTGTTATAGGCTTTTTTTTTAAATGCTTTAGTCTCACTTGCACAAAATTTGTGCTAACCAAATGTAAGAGCTTGTTCAAGAGTTTGTTTTTGTAACAAATTAAGATGGTTCTTTATGTATGTGTATATATATAAATACGCAATAATCATTCTTTTTTACAAAAAATGTATTGTCAATTGGGTTATAAAAATCTAAAAAAAATCAAAATGAATTGATATATAGTTACCAAAATAATTTTTATGACTAATAAATTAATAACCATTAATCATTAAAAAAAAATGTCACCAAATTATTTTGTATGTCAATAATAATCAATAATCATTAAAAAAAATGTTATGTAACTTACCTTAAAAACACATGATAAATAAAAGGTAAAGTTCTAACAAGTTTATTTGGAGATATAAATGAATATCATATTCTGATATTATACCAATGTTGGTACTACATGTGTAATTTTGTCGATACTTAATTATATGTTTATTTATTTGTAGAAACTCTATTAACATCTAATAATCAATATGTATAACAATTAGTTATTTATGTGCAGATTATTAGTTACTAAAGACGTAACTTATTTAATAATATAAATCACTTAACAGAGTCAGAATAATAATTATATATATTAATTAGATTATACGATATAAAAAAAAAAGATTCTAATACAATAAACAAGAACATTAATCGCGTATCTTATCTCGAGCATAAAATAAATATAAAAAAAACTTTATCTATCACATTATTATTATTATTATTAGAAACTCATTTATGGTTATTTATTAATAAAATAATTTATTACAAAAAGTATCATTATTTAACGAATCTCATATAAATTCTACTCAATAATCTAGTTGGCCTATCAATTTCAACCTGATCCGATAAATAAATAAATAAATAAATATATATATATATATATAGACATTTTTTTAACCATATTTACTGGTCCAAAGATGTTGCGTTTCTTTGCATTTTATTTATTTATTTCAATGAAACAACTAAACATAGACAAATAAGAAAGTATATACTTTGCTTTAGTTCCTAACCTTAAAATTACACAATGTTTTCATATTTTTTTTCCTCAATGTTCTCGTAATTAATTAATAAATAATACTATTCATACATTGATTGTTAGTTAATATGAATTGTATTGATATATAGAAAATGATAGGACCAATTCTGTCTATTAAACTATTGATTAGATAAATGAGAGGAATGTTAACGCATTATATTTAAGTTGGATAGTATAGAGAAGAAGAATATTTAGTTACATGATTAAGATCATGAATCTTACATCATAACCCATCAACTAAATTGACACAGTTATCACCTAAACTGTTATTTATAAATTTCTTAATACTGACCAGCTATTTAAATATATGTTTGGAACTCATTTTTCAACATATTTTTTTCTTCTTTGTGTTGAAATGTGTAATTTATGTGAAAACTACTATTTCCTCTAATTTATGTGAAAATTACTATTTCCTGATTGATTCAAAAGTGAATCAAACATGACATAAATACAATTAAAAAAATAGCTTACCAACCACCATTTATACCACATTTCCATCTCATAAATATTAAATTTTTATATGTCCAGGTTTAATAATTATTCTAATCAAATCTTATATACAAATAAAATTTATTTTTTGGCAATGAATTATAAGAATACTATAGTTTAGTCAAATTCAATAGTTCATAATTAAAGAAACCTTGTGTTATTCAAGTTAGGTTAAGGGCATTGACATTTATTTTATATTAAGTTTTTCTATTACTATATTCACAAACATGATCATCTGGATTTATCTTTTAATTCAAAAATTATTTCTTATATGTCCTATATTGTTACTGTTCTTTCTTAATATTTTCGTTTTTCTTTCCTTCCTTAATGATCTTAATATCCATATATTGTCCATCAATCAATCATATTTGAAACAAGTTAGTACCATAATTTAAAAATTGAACCCAATTAACGAATTATAATTTCAAACCATAAACTTTGAAATATTTTTTTTTTCCATCTTGAATCATGAAGGTTTAATTAAAAAAATAACAGTATATATATATATTTTGGTAAAGATAGTAAAAAAAATCATATGTAGAACTAAAAAACACAAAATTGACACTCTTTAGAATCCTTTCTTTACTTTTTGTGTTTCAAAGAATTTTGGTTTTCGCCGTTGTCTCAGCATTTCAACTTTAACTCCAACAGGTTCTTGCCATGTTTCATCACATTCTGCTTCATCATCATCCACCCAGTCTTCTCTCACCAAATAATGTTGTTGATAATATCTGAAGGCCACAAACAGCACAAACACTGCCAATTATACAATTCGTTAGTGCATAATTATGTAAGTGTAATGCACAAAACTATATATATATATATATATATATATATATATAATTTTAGCTCTTTATAATATTTAATCCTCAATTTTTGTTCTCTATTTTAGATTTTTGAATTTTAGTTTTTTAATTTTTTTATAAAATCTACAATTTTAACTTACTATTAAATGTTAATTCAATGCTACTATGACTTGATATTAAGTAGATCAAGCAACATTAATATTTAATAATATATACTAAATTATACTTTTAATCCTCATTTTTATCTTATAAAAGTGATAATAAGAAATAAAATAGAATAAAATGAGTATCGAAAATACAATTTAATTTAAACATTACTAAATATTAATCATTACTGTACAACTTTTAGTTAATTCAGGTCATAATCAGTATTATGATTTTAAAGGGTCAATTGATGAACATGTTGAACCAAAATTGTGATTTTTACAAAGTTAGAGACTAAAATGAAGATTTTGGATTATATATATATATATGAGGAGGGATTCTTTTATTCCAGGAGTAAATCTACTTAAACTTATTCCGTTCAATGACTATGTTCTACATCAAATTTTAACGATTTAACTGTTTAATTTAAAGTTCTTAATGCATATATCAAATTTGTAAATTTTTAAAGTTTAAATTTTAAAAAAATAAGAAGAAAAAAAGTGTATTTTTTTTTTTTTACAAATAATTCACACCAAAATGTTAAAAAGGTTGAAATCAAATCTAAGTGGTTAATTAACTAAAATTGAGTCTTGAGTGTGCTTTTACCTGACCAAATGCGAGCAACAACTGATGACAAATTCCAAACAAGCCCAAAAATGGCAAGTGCCACGGCCTTTTTGTGAGAGCAAGAATCCCAAGCATCCCGGAATCGATTAATCCAAAAGTTTGCTTCATGTAATTAAAAAATAAACCATCATTCATCACATTAAGAAAACTCAAACGATTAGATTGTAAAACACAAAAGTCATCATACTAGTCGCCAAATTAAAGTATTTTGGCAGGGTTTGGAGTTTGGGGGTGGGGACCACCAGGATGTATGCCATGAACATTATTGTTTCATTATTGTGTTCTCAAGTCCCAACCCTATGAAGATAAGTCCAATACTTGTAGGGAATGGGCCCAAAATTGAGAAATAAAAAGCAAAGATGCTCATCCATGTGATGCATTAATTTTTTCAATTCCCATCCTCCACATTTTTAAATGTGCATAAAAGCCAAAGCAGGTTTAGATATCAATTATTTCACTAGAGGAGGTATAAATATAATTGAACCCTACCCATAGATTAATCATTTTTTTTTCTTAAAAGGACCCACCAAATCCACTATAATAGATCAAAGATACAAATCAAAGGTACAAAAGAGCCGTTTCCATGGCCATAATTATAAATACGTGCATGATCAAACTGGTGGGGCCCGCTCAAATTCTGCAACGTTTACATTTGACAATGGTGTCAAATATTATTATCCCACCTAGACCCACTTGAAGCTACTTACTACAACTATATCGTGTAATTTCATCTTATTTATGTCCCAAGGGAAGAATTAAAATGATGCTAAGATCAAAGCTACATTTAATTTAGGATTTTACCGAATGCAGTTAACTGTGCAGAATACGAGGAGCAGAATTTTGGCACAGTAAAAACTCCAAAGAAGCCTGAGGCAGTGAGAGAACAAGTTTAGTAACTGAAAAAAAAAACAAAATAAGACAAATTGAGGGAATTTTCACTCGCATATTAAGTGGTGCAAAGAGTGAGAAACTTTTGTATTGACATGCAAATTGGTTGTGTTGAGCACATGTTGTTCCAAAAGATTTGAATTGAAATGGTCATTATGTTCTTTTAATAGTATGCAGCCACAACACTAAACTGTAATTCACAAAACATTACCGAATTTGAATTCTATCTACGAATTGAATAAGCCTTCAGAAACTTACCGAATTTGGCCATCTTCCAAATGGTTATGGAGCTGCCACATCTTGCAAGAACAAAAAGCAAAACTGCCAACTGTAATTCACAAAACATTACCAAAGTTTATTCTTATGTTTTAATGTTAAGAAAACGGGATAACATCTTGGACATCTCACACCAACTAGTGGTATGATCAATAAAGTGTATATAAATAAAGAACAATTGTCACCTTACAAGTTGGTTGGCTTATAAGGTAGAGTTAACTCCCTTAAGAAAATATATTATCAGGGAGAGAAAAAAAAATACCTTTATTGTGGTACCAGGATCTCCAGAAAACATGGTTTTGAGTTTTGACAGAAACTCATTCAAGTAAGGAAGGATCAATTTTAGCACCCAAATGGCTTCTTCTTCTCCCAGTACATAGTTTGTGTCCTCTACATCTATGACCCCCCTGATTAGTTTGATTCCAAACAATAAGAATCAGAGAGAGTATTCAGTGTCAAGTAAAAAAAAATTGTCGTTTATTTTTCACCATTGTGCTGGGGTTATTACCTGCATAATAGTGATCTATAGAAGAAGATAACAGCTAGATAGATAAGGCCAATATAGGACATTACAGAAATAAGACTGCACAAACAAGGATCAAGATGTGTCAGTTCTTGGCACTCTTTTAAGAAGCAGAAGTGTAAGTACAAAATGAATTGAGCTGTGTGGTGATTCCTAACCTCAGATTGATATCCTTTGCATATGAAGATGAAACTATAGTGAATGTTCCAATCCCGAAGATAAATGCTGATCTAGAGATATCTCTCCACATGATTAAATCCACTGAAGAGTGACATATATAAAGAATGAATGCTAGAAATTGTAGTAAAGTTTGCCAACAAATTTGACTCTTGCATAATTCTGAAATGTAGATAAATCACCTAAACTATGTAGATTGTTCTGGGTCTGTGGAAAGCCACAGTACTCTTCTGCCTTTGGAACTGAATAGTAAAGATGAATTAGCCTTGATAAAAGCACAAATTGAAGGGAGAAAAACTTGAATGAAATTTAAAGGACCTTACTTGTATCAGCCTTGGAGAAATTTTGGTAAACTGTGGAATGCTTTCTAATGGGAGGAGATGGCTTCACAATTACAGGGACAGACACTGGCCTTTCATTTTTTTGATGAAATTGTCTGTTGGTACTCACAACCTTTTTAGGTTCTGGTTCACTCACAATCTTTTGTTTTTCTGATACATTCGCAACCTCCTTTTTTTCTGGTTCATTCACAAGCTTGGATTCTGGTACATTGATTTCCTTAACATCAAAGCTCTCCTTCTCCATCTCAAAGTCAATCTCCTCATCATCCACCTCCACGTCCTCATCTTCTTCTTCTTCATCATCATCATCAAGAACATCATCAGAGTTTCCATCAACATGCACTGGTGGACACTTGACCATGCCATTGCCAGCATTATCTGAACTGCTATAAATGACCATCTCTTGGCACACACCAAAATCCTTGCAATTTTCATCATTATCAGCCAATCCATCAATGACTTTCCTTGATTCATCCAAAACATGGACATGATCCAACTCTGGTTTGTCCTTCCCAAACTGTATTGCATTTGCATTTCCCCCATTTCCATCAGCAACATTCTTAACAACTGAATCTGATTTGTTCTTTCCGAGTTGCTCAACATTCCTTTCATCAGATTCACCCACCTCAGATATGTTCTTTCTGTTTTGAATTGGACTCTTCTTGATTGAATCAGAAGAAATGTTGAGATCCTTACATTGTTGACTACTAGTACTATTCTTCTGGGGTTCTGTTTTTACTCTGGCTATTTGAATTTGGTTATTTTGTAACCCGTCGGACCTTTTTGATTTCCCAGTTTTTCTCTTTCCAGTGGCAACCACACCCCCAATTTGTCTTCTCTTCAATCTGGTGCCACCATTGGTTCCTTCTTCAGCATTTTTTTCTCCACTGAAGGCCTTACCTTCATCACTCTTCATCCTGCTCTCCCACACTGACCCTGCAACCACCCTGCTTCCAGCACCAACTCTTCTTCTCCTACTCACATCCATCTCAATTATATTCTCTTTTTTATTTTCTCCCTTTTCCTCTCTCTTTCTTTTTCTGCCTAACAATCAGTACTGTAATGGGACACGAGTGTTTGATGGATAAGAGGCTTTCAGCTGAAGAAATGGCGGTTGGCACTTGGTGGGGTGCAACATTGGGATCTCCTTGTAAAGAAAACTAAGAGAGAGAGAATCAAGGGATTGTGTGTGGAGTAAGAGACAGTAGTTGGTCTCTTTTTTTATTCTCTTTATTGCGAGCAAAGGGAAAAGTGAAGGTAAATTGAGTTGGGTTGAATGATTAGGGTGTTAAGGAGGAACCCTTTTATGTTTTATGCATAGATTCCTTAGCTCTCACATCACTCTCACCGAGGAAGCTAAAGTCAGTGGTCTCACCTTCCCATGCAGATGCAAATGAAGAACCTCTACCTATATAGTCCAATTTTCACATGATACATAATTGAGTTTCTTTTTCCGTAAAGTAAAAAACTTGACTACGTATCAGAAACAGTGAACCCGTATTAATCTCAAACTATATAATAATTTCTTGTAAGATAGAAAATCATGAAATAAACGATCGGTTAATAATTTTAAGTGTATTCCATATTTCATTGAATGTATCAATGAGGCATATAGAAAATGCAATGTGTGGTGGTGGTATCAGACAGTTTTGTGACAAGAAACCAAGGCACCCCCAATTTTTGTAAAAGCTAGACTTAATAAAGTTGAAGGATGGGAATTGGGAATAGTAATGGTAATTATATATCCATACGTTTGCGTTTTGGTTAATGGTGACGTTTGCTTGGTCATTTGTAGTATGGGTTTTCCATGCAGGTTTTATTTGTGTTAGATGTAATAGTATTTATGGGTAATAATTTGACATGGCCAGCATTTACCAGTATAGACGTACATCAATGAGTTAATCACTATTTATATAAACATTTGTTTGAAAGCTAAAAGCAAATAGTCCCATCACAAATTTACTTAAGCTTTTATATCTCATTAAGGAAGCTATGTCAAAAATTACACAAACAGAAGATATTGTGTTGTGTACGAGAAAGTTACTGCATGTGGGAATGTTTGCCGTAAGCGTAAGGCTAACCGTAGAATATCACAAAAAAGATGCACAAAACAAAACCTTCTCTCTACAGACCCGCCACATGAGTAGCTTCTTTTTGGCATGTGAAGTAAACATCAAATTGGTTGGGTACGATACTGCGGAAAGATCAAATAATTAACCTACCTCTCTCTCTCTCTCTTTCTTCTCAATTATAATTTATTATTAACTTTGTTTCAAAGAAATAAAGATAAACTAATGGGACCTGACACAAAGATTTGGAAGAAACTCTAAATGGTGGAGTTATGAAAAATTAAACATGCAAAATAAATATAAAAAGATGACTTGTGAACTAGTCATAGATGAGACGGAGGTGAACTTGTTGGGATGGACGTGATTAGTTTAGGGAGGTTAAAAATTAAAAAGGGAAAGAACGGGTAGAAGTAGGGGTTTTAATTAAGATAGATAAATGATTAATTGTGCTTAATCTCTCTTTAGTTTTTTTTATTTTTTGGTTGTGAAAACAGACTTGTTCACCTACCGCTGAAGGCACGTGACTTGAACGGCACACCACACATGACGTGTCGTTTGCTGCTGTGACCTCATCTTCAACGTTACCACTTACCACCATCCCACCAATTACAATTTACACGTGCCTGCCTATCTCTACACAATGCAAATGCAATAGTAACCTTAATTAATTTTTATTCTTATATGAATAAATTATTTTCAATAAATTTAGACTTTTGTTTTTCCGATACTATGGACCCGCAAAAGCGGGGAGAAAAAACATTGTTAAATGACAGCAGCATCCATCCAGAGGTACGAGAGACAAAAGACTCAAATCATGCGAGTAAGCAGGCAGACTATGAGATGGCTTGCCTCAACAGATTAACAGCTAATAAAAAGCATGAGCTGCTGCTTGAGAGTCAGTTTCCATCAGCCAAGCATACTCGAGGGTAGAAAGAATAGCCCACATCTCAACAATAACAACACAAATTAACATAATCCAATTTCCTCCACAAACTATACAGCCACCAACCTTTGTCATTCCTGGCCACACCGCCACAGCCAGCTTCAGACCTATCAAGCAAAAGTCATATGCATCAACATTAAACTTCACCCAACCTGGACCTAGGAATCTCCTCTTAAGACTTATCAGCAACACTGTAACTATGAATGCTTAATATATAAATTATTATGATATATCAAATCTTATGTCTATTAAAAAGGTAAAAAAAAATTACAAATAACTGAACATAAAAAATAAAAATCAATCTATAATAAAATAAAGTGTTCTCTCAAAAATAAAATAAAGTGTTACATAAAATAAATTTTTATCTCTTATTTAAATTAAGAGCAATAGAATAAATATGATAAAGTTAATTTTAACAATAATTTTTATGCGAGGAATTACAAAATTTGGAATGTAAAATATCTCCTATTTCCCTTCTCTCAATTAAAAATTATCAATATTCTCTATTTTTTTCTCTTTTGAATATACATTTCATGTATTATCTTACAATCTAACCAATTTCACTCAACTATCTCAAATTATCCTCTATTAGGCAAAACCGGAAAGGAAAGTCTTCTCTATATTTAGAAAAATAAAAGAAAAATATGAAAGACTTTATATTTAATGAATAAGAGGATTTTTTTTAATGCGGTGAAGACGTAATTGTGAAAAAGTTGTCTAAAAAAACGTAGGAATAAAATGTGGATATCGACATTATAATAGGTAAAAGACTATAGATACATTTAATTTTCTTAACTGTCTGTTTCAATCTATTTTTTTGTCTTTATTTTAAATTAAGTTTAATAACATTTTAAAAATTATCAATAACTAAAATAAAAACTTTATATCATGATTCAAATTACTTATAAAAATTTAAAATATAATTCATATATTTAAATTTATTTAACAAAATCAAAACTCATGTAGCAAAATTGTTTAGATAAAATAAAATTCGGAATTAAAATAAAACTATATGATATTTTCTCATTTAAGCAATTGTGAGACTTATTGACTCTTAAAACTTTCGAAATACTCATCAAATATCCAACAAACCTAGAGGTTGATTTAAATTTCCACTAGCATTACTTTTTACTCAAACTCAACTTCAAACTACCAGCATTTCAACAAATGTTACAGTATATAATTACACCCTTAAATGAAGTTATCATTTCTTACCTCTAGTAAGTAGTAAGTAGTAACTGACAACAAAGGAATTCTTCATTGTTTTGTATTAATATTGTCACGTTGATTATGTGAGCCATAACTAACTCCAACTTTAGCAATATTTTATTGTTATAGCTGGGGTAGTACACATTCAATAATGCCGAGCAAGAACGAGTCAAAAAATAAATAAAGAAAATACCGAGCAAGAAATTTCCCATGCTTTTGGTGTACCTAAGAAGATATTTAATTAGGAAAAAGAGATCATATACGAGCTATACAAGAAGATATCTCATTACTTAACAAAAAGAGTACAAGATATCAAGCATTGCGTTACATATGTGAAATCAATGTTAGCAGAGTTCCAAGCCTGACGAGGAGAGGAAAAATTAATAATGAATGCCTAGGTCTCCTGGAAATACTTACAATCCTACAGTTTCTGAGCAGAGAGGGAAGAGGAAGATATATACAGGTTGTCTGATGAGGATATATCGTGTCTCGAACCTGAGACCTAACAATGGTATTGCAATAAGCAAACCATTACACCAGGTTATTGACAGTCAGGTTGTCTGGTAAATAACACAACTCGCGCAAGCTACATCATTTCTGCTATAATTCACAATTATTAAATATAACAATAACTGTGAGGAAGGAGAATGACAATCAAAAAAAGATGTACAGTGAGCTATGGGTTTAAAGGGTTACCTAACGTTTGCAGTGCAATGCAGTTCTCCGTTTTGGTTATCAATGTCAGCTACTATCACACCAGACCCGATTTTGTCCAGTCAAATTCCTAGTCATGTTAGAGTATATACTGATTCTCGAAACTAGTAGCATTTATTTGACATTGCCAGTCCGGATAGCTGTAGGTAAAATTCTTTCTGATTCGCATTTCTTTTTCTCACTTTCTGCTGCTTTCTTCATTTCGAGCTCTAGCTGCTTGCTGTTTTCTTCATGGGCTTTGTTGAACATCCTAGTAAAGTTGAGCAAAGTTGACCCAACTGCAGAAAATTCAAAAATAATTACAGGAATTAGTAGTATAATAGTACAAGTAGAGGCATCGATATCAGTACACCATGGGAGGGGGAAGTGCACTTATGATTTCTTCCCATATAAGGGATCGCAGTAAAGCTTTGCATCCGGTTCCAGAATAGACTTGAAAGAATTTGCATGCCACGAAACTATCAGTTTTTAGTTTCAGAATGCAGTTATTCAATTGATAGTTTGGAAGCAAAAAATAAAGGCAGTTCATAAAAAACATAAACATTCACATAAATGCAGCCAAGTGAAGAATCCATGCTCTTACTTTTTGGAAGGTATAATTTCAGTGAAGTACAAAGCTAAAAATATAATTAGCATAAGCCAAATATAGGGTGCTCATTTAAATCAGCTATCAAGAAAGAGTATCATATTTGAATTTGAAGTTTAAACAGAGACACACACCTTGCTCAAATGGGCAGCGAGATGGATCTTCACCAAAATAGAGAATTAATGCATCCACGTTCCTACCCTGTAAACATACACTCTCTGAGTAAAGCATAACCTTAATATGATTTTAAAAGATCTAAATATAATGTAGAAAGCCTACCACGCTAGAATATAGTGAAGCCAATGAACGAACTTCAGCTTCAGCAGAACACAGGAAATCTTTCAATTTCTGTGGTAAAAAGAAAATGAAGTTAAAGACTGACAATGTATATAATTTATTAGATTTTTTAGCGAATAGAAAAGTAATTCACATTTTCTATCTTTCTGCTGTTCTCCTAAAGTCAGAACTCGCAAACTCTGACATTGGACCAATCACAGACAAAGCATGAATTGCTATCTTGATCATAAGGTCACACGATCTTACAATTTTTCACTGCCTCTGAGATCCCAATTATATGATGAAACCCGTTTGGTTGGATCGGGTAGGATCATCGATCTTACTCGTAAAAATGGAAAGATCATGCGATCTTTGCGAGTTGAGTTTAAACCCCCTTTTCCCCCAAAAAAGCCCAATAAACTGTCTCACATATGAAGCCCCAAGCTAACCTCCTTTTGTGTGCCCGAAACCTTCTTTCTCACCGTGTGTGCGAGTCCTATTGTCTTCCAAACACACTAGCACTCTCCAAAACAACTCGCTGGTGACTGGTTGACGCTGCCTTCTCTTAGTTCTTAGTGCTTCTTTTTCCTGTTTCAAGCTGCACCACCTTCTGTCCATGCTGTTTGTTCTGTTGTTCCTTCTTCTTGTTCGGAACCCTGTTGGGTACTTGTGCTCCCTCTTGTTCCAAGAGGGTTTCAAGGTCCTTCTTCCTCTTCATCTTGTTGCCGGTGAAGGTCAAGGAGGCTCTCTGTTTTTTAACTGGGTTATGGGTTTTGGTTCTGCTCTGGAGTCTGGTCTTGGTTGGTGTGTGTTGTGGCGCTGAAAATGTCTGCTAAAGCTAAAGAGGTTGATGTTTAAATGTTGAAGTTTTATATGTCTTGTCACTTGTTGAAAACTTGTTTTGTATTTTAGTCTGGTTAATTTGTTACTACTTAAGCTTAAGTTGTCATTTTGTGAGTTGCACGTGCACGTGACTTGTGGATTCGATTTAAGCTTATGTGTTTGCAGTGATTTAAAGGCTAATTTCTTATTTATTTTATGGTAGATATATATATATATATATATATATTGTTATAAAATATCTACCATAAAAAACATTGGCTGATTTTTGTAGGAGATTTGTGTCTATATATAGAATCAGTGTCATAATCTCACGATTTACCATTTCCGCTCGCCTTTTGATACGAAGTAAAATCTCCATTTTGACTGTCTTGCAGACAAGCCTCAAAATATTTGCCTCCACAGAAAAGGGACTCAAAGAAAATAGTCTTTCTTTTACAGACATGTTTGCAAACTCAATTGACTTCAATTAATGTAGATATATATACACTTCACAAATAATTAAGATAATTTCTTTTGTGGAAAGTGAAACTTGAATCAGTGAACATGAACAAGGGCAATTTAAGAAAAGAAGAAAAGGCAAGAGTTGGTGAATCAAATAAAGTACAAGTAAAGGCATGATGCTTATACCTTGCGGAAACTTTCTGATATAGGCCCATCATTTTCAGAGGTTGATAGTTCCTGTACCACTTTTTCTAATCCTTTGTTTAAAGCTTGCATCTCCTCAGCCAAAAACTTTAATTGGATCTGCATCAAATAAATTCAGTCAGTTTTAGTACAACGCCTATCAACATAATGGACTGAAGAGCCTTTGAGAAGTCCAGAACCTTTGCTGCTGGCTCTAGGTTAGCAAGATCCTTGGAGAAGTCTAAAACTTCCGGTAGTTTGTCAACTAGCACCTATGTTCACGCACAGTATCAGATTAATGCATTAAAAAATGAACATTCATAATCATTTTAATATCAGAAGATGATAAATCATAGCTTTACCCCAATTTAATATCAGAAGTGACTCCATAGCTCAGAAAAAACTCATCATCATTCTTTTTTTCTTTTTAAGAAAAAAAGGAAAGATAAAAGAAAACAAAAGGAAATAAATAACGACATGTACCTTACAAAGATAATGCATGAGAGTCATCTTCCTGTCCCGTGCACGTGTCTCAGTGAGTTTAAGAAGGCTATCCAATCTGAATCCAATAGCAGAACCTAAAAGAAGATCGGAGAATATCAAGATAGGAGATTGGTTAAAAGGAAATGAATAATTAAGACAAAAGCTAAAACAAAAATCATGCAAATGTAAATTATTTAGTTATCAGCAAATATGTTTAGGAAAAAACCGATGGTTCCAATGAAATTCATTCATCGTTTATTTAGCTACACTTTTTTAATGAAATATTGTAAACATTTACAAACTTTTAATCAACTACATAACAACCCACTTTTCAATCCCATTAATTTATTTTGTTTTCATTTAGAATAATGAAAATATACAATATCTATATTCTATCCCCCTAACCCTATGTAATGTTTTCACGGTGAAACTCATATATACTAGGGAGAGGTAAAATACCAAAACCAAAGTTTTAGTATCATTATACTGATTAGGTCTAGGACATATGCATTCATTTTATATAGTTTATTTTTTGCTAAATTGGTCTTAAGTTATTTGAATAAAACTCTCAAACACTAATAATAATAAAAAATATAAATAAATAAAATAAATGTTTCCTATAAATTAAAATTAGTTTATATATAAGCTAATATATAACAGTTATTTTATATTAGTTTCTATAAAAGTTTATTTGAACTTATCCATAGCTAAATTAAACCTATGTTAGAAGTTTATTTCATTTATCTTTCATATTTTTCTCTTATAAATATTTAATGGATAAGTTTATCTAAACCTAGACTTTAATTTGTATGCACATCTGAGAATATTAGTTGACGTAGTAATAAGATTGGTGAACATGATGTTCCCCACATTAAAATGGATAATATGGAGGATTAACAAATAAATCATTTGTATCTAAAGTACGGGGAAGACATTATCAAGGAAAGAAAGGATGCAGATCACACTAATGGATTTATTTTTTGAAATTAACTAATAAAAAAAGGACCATTAGGCATACCCTCCAAGAAGAATAAATTAAACTTAAATGCACATTTTTCCACCAAAGTTCAATGATTTTGTGAATTTTGTCACTTAAATTTCGAATTTGCATATTTTTCTATAAAAGTTTCAAAATTTTGCACATCACTCAATTAGTTTTTTTGTCTTATACTACTAATTGATTGTTGATGTAACAGATTAATGGTTGATGTTGATGTAGATTGATACATGACATACAAATGATAATATGATATTATGTGTCATGTTAACAATCAATATGTCATATTAACAGTTAACGTGCCATATCAATAGTCAATTAATAGAATGATAAAATATGTGAAAATTTGAAAATTAGGTGACAAAATATGCAAATTTAAAAAATCAGGTTGGAAAATTAGTGAAGTCATGAAATTTCGATAGCAAAATGTGCAAGTAAAATGCAATAGGAAAAGAAAATACTAAGTGCGCAAAGTTTACTATTACAAAGTAAAATGCAACAGGAAAAGAAAACAAAAATGTGTATTTACACATACTAGATCACACTATCGAGTAGAAGAAGAAAAAGTCTGTCTAATGAAGGTGTGTCATGCACATAGGCCATAAAATACAGATATTTCTTAAAAATGATGGTACTTTTCTTTGTGTTATAAACATAAATGGTTCATGTAATCATATTGCATCTATCTACTTCTATATATATTTGTTTAAACATACCCCTGGCAGTTCCTTGGTTCAAAGCATTTCCTAAAGAAAGTATTGTTTGCATAATTCTCTTTAATTTGACAGAATTCTTGATCTGGAAAAAGGAAACAAAATCTCAACATCCAAAATGTTATTCCTCGTTGAAAAAGAGAGAAAGGAACCATGTTGCAACAAGATATTTCAGTAAAAAGTAAGATATCATGCCTCTTCTGCAGCAGCATTCACAACAGTCAGGCTATTTCTAAGGTCAGAAACCTACAGAAAATATTAACAGGGTCAAACTGGAAATAAGTGTAAAGCCATTTTTTTTCCGGTAAGGATGCATGAATATAGCAGTATTTCAACCTGAGAGTGAAATTGAATCTTGAACGAAAAAACTCTGAGCTTGGATTCCACTCGTGGTACTTTCATCAATTCCATCAAGAACTGTAATGAAAAGTTTATGAAAATATAATTAAGGTCCATGCTAAGAGAAGGTAGAAATGCAGTCTCTGCCATTGAAGATAGCAATTACACTTAAAACTGTGTAAGCAATGCTAAAATTTAAATATTCATACAATTTGAGCTCTAAAGAAAAGATCCAAAATATAGGCAGCACTAGGCCAAAAATCGAGAAACCCTACCTGTTCGCATCTCCCTAACTTCTCCTTTTCCCCATTATAACCCTGTGTCAGAATAAATGGAGTTATGAAATTTTGAAAAAGAAATAGAAGATTCATTATAATTTGAACTCGGCATAATTATTAACCATAGTCATCTCCCAACCTTGAGTAATTCCATCTCCTCTTTTGTAGGACAAAACTTTATGAGGTTCTCAACCTGATCAGTGTCCAGTGCTGATTCTTCCAGTTCTAGCACTGAGCTCTGAAAATTCCAAATAAGCTATTATTAATGAATAAAAACTCTTATCAGCACATATCAAGTCAACTAGATAATTCCATGACACGAACAGGACTTGAAAAAAATGGTAAATGAAACGTATAACTTAGCAAAAGTCCCAGCCATTGTTCATCTATGTTCATCTATTTTATGACGCAGCTAAAAAGAAGCACAATAACTGAAAACTATATAATTTTCCACCCTTGTTTAGAAGCATAAACTTTAGGCACATTATTTTCACTTCATTTCATAATAGGGTTATATAGATATCTAGACAAGCATTTCTAAAATAAAAATCTTTTTATGAAAGTCCATTATTGGTGTACAAAATAATATTGTTGAAAAGATTAAGTCAACCCAACTCAATCTTTCTCCTTACCAGAAAAAAAATCCTGATGATAAAGGTTTTTTGTGCAGCCTTTATCTGGGTATATAAAAATCCTGATGATAAAGGAGTAGATAGATAGTACTATCTCTGAGTGCATATACTGACTGAATTTTAAAACACAAAAATATGGTTTAAGGAAATTGTAAAAAAAATCTACAGATATTTCATATAAAAGCATGGACATTTCTCTTTCACTTTAGTCTTCAATCCAACACCAAGAAATTGTGCTCCTAAATAGCATTCTTATAGTCCAAAATCACAGCACAGAACAATTATTTCATACATTTTTTCCATGATTAACAACAGTTCCAGCTAATTTACTAATGTCAAGGCTCGTTTAGTGTAAAATTAAAAAAACAGAGAGATTCTATAATTAATACATTTTTTTATTGATTTTCTTTTCAAAATTTACTATTTTTAATTTTAACTTCTAGCAAAAGCACTAAAAACGTCTTTTTTAGGTTTAGGGTTCCTTCGTAAAACATACATAATCATTGTAAAACTTTAAATTATCTTTTAATGAAAAGCACTTTTTAAAAATACATGCACAAACCAACGTGTCCTCAGGATGCTACAGAAGTACAAGTTTGAAAGAAAGGAATTAAGTTGAAACATTCGGGTCCTTCATTTGTGTCAAAGGGAACTGAAAACCACAAGATAGAAAATTTCTATTCCAATAAAAAGGTAATGCTATTTAGGTAAAGAAAATCAAAACACAAATTAAAAACAGTAATCCAAAACAAGAACAGGATGAGAAGGAGAAGGACAAGTATACCATCTTCTCTATAGTTGTGTTATAAAAGTGATGCCAACGTTCATAGTTTCCAATGAAAACAAATCAATATTAAATACTAGATGGATTCTGAATCAATAGAACAAAACTGTCATTCAATTGTCAATCAAATCATTTTTTATTAACTAGCACTCCATATTATTTAATAGTAGTACTTGCCTTTCTTCACCACATTATTAGAGACCATAAATGTAACATAAATCTCACCACTAAATCATGTAATGGCACTTTCACTTTTGAAAGCATGATTTCACAATTATATGCTCGCCTATGCTCAATCTGCAAGGAGAGATGATATCAATCTAAATCAAAATCAAAAGGATGATAAATGTGTCATGGCTACAAAATATATAGAATCTATATTGGAACTACACCACACAGATAAACACTCATTTCTTCCCACATTGCACTATACAAGTGAAATCCTATAGTTCTATAATATGTGAAAGGGAGAAACTACCACAGACAATACTGGTTTTAAGATGGATTGGTTATATAATAAAATTATCATACAAAATTTTCCAAAGTAATTGTCAACATTAATTTTGATACTTCTGTTTGTCAACTCTAAAAGTGTCGGTCAATGAAAAGCTGACAGATGACTCAATTTACAACTTTATGGTTATATAGAACCACATAAAACGATAACCACTGGTTATCACTACTAGGAACTATCACATTTCTTGCATTTTCCCATCACATTCAGATATAAACAAGTAGATTATGAACCTATTCACACCCAGTCTTAGTGTTGCTGCAAACTGAAGCTAAATTACCAGTTGCACTTTATCAGATTTAGGCCCGGATGAGCTTTGGGCATTTGACTTTTTGGCAGCACCTGAACTTGGGGCTGCTGCTGAGAAGAGATGCTCAAGCTCTGACATATCAATATCTGGGGCCCTACATTAAGATAATAAAAGAAGAGGAAGGTAAAACACTAGAATAGTAGAAGGGTAATCTGTCATGAAAAAAAATGAAACACCCTAGCCAATCAACATTACTTGGAAGCTTCGCCAGATTTCTGTGTCTCAGCCCACAAACTTCCTTGCACTGCTCTTGATAATTTCAACCAATGCAATGGCTTCAACTTTTTGGCGTTATTCTTTGAGGTAACCGTACGTGATAGAAATCGTCCCTTTGAGCTAGTTGGTGAAGGTCCCGTTGTGCTTGACACATTTTCATCACCACTCCCAGGAAGAGACCATGGAAAAGGACCTCCTTTAACAGGTGCCCCAGGAGGAGGTGGAGGAGCAGGTGCCCCAGGAGGAGGTGGAGGAGCAGGAGCCCCAGGAGGAGGGGGAGGAGCAGGTGCCCCAGGAGGGGGGGGAGGAGCAGGTGCCCCAGGAGGAGGGGGAGGAGCAGGTGTCCCAGGAGGAGGGGGAGGAACTGGTGCCCCAGGAGGAGGTGGAGGAGCAGGTGCCCCAGGAGGAGGTGGAGCAGCAGGTATTGTAGGAGCAGCTGGAGACTTTTGCAATGAAAAATTAGTGTGATCATAGGAAAGTGGAGGTGGTGGTGGTGGTGGTGGTACTATAGTAGAACCTGCAACTTTCCCAGAGAGACAAGGAGGTGGTGGAGGTGGAGGAGGCTTAAATCTAACAGGTTGCTCCTCTTTTAGAGGAGGGGGAGGGGGCGGAGAGGGTCCATCTCTAACCTGTGGCTCCACGTTCATAGGAGATAGAGGAGAAGGAAGTGGTCCAACTTTAACAAGTTGTTCTGTTTTTGGAGGGGGAGGAGGTGGAGGAGGTTTAGCTTGAACTAGTCTATGATCCTTTAGTGGAGGGGTAGGAGGAGGTGGTGGAGTTGGAGGTCGTGAAGGGGAAGACTCTAATCTTGTTCTAATAGGAGGAATCTCATTCACATTTTTGGAAGAAAGTGAAGGAGATGGATGAGTTGAAGTAGATGCTGAAGCTGAAGGATAGGAAATGGCGTCAGCTGGTGACTTACTATGAATAGTGGATGAGGATTGGGTCCCAGGTGTATGGATAGAATTAGGTGAATGACTTCTGTCTTGTGATTGGTGTTTTGATTGCAAGGGGGGTGATTCCGTTTGCAGAGGAGAATCATGAACTTCTTTAGCACCAATGGATCGAGGCCCCAAGGGAGGTGTTCGAGGGGAAAAAGAAGTATCAACAGAACTAGACAAGGCAGGATGTGGTGCATGCAGTTTTATGCCAAGATTTGTAGGTCCTGTTGGACATTTATTAGATTGCAAGGTTCTTTCAAAAGATTTGGTTGTCTCTTGATATCCTTGACCTTGTTGTGGCATGCCTTCGACCTTGTTGGTCTTATCCTCTTTTCTACTCATATCATTATCTGAGGATCTCTTAGTTGAGGATAAACACTGTCTCTCTTCATTCAAATATCCCTGAGGCGTTCTAGGACTTGTTTCATGCAATAAAGGGCTAGTTTCTGCATACTGATCAGAAATTGTTTCCAATCTGTCATTCATAGCTGAAGCACTTATCTGTTGGAGCACATTTAGTGCAACATCTGCCTTGGGGTCCATCCAGTCTACATGGCTAAAGATCTCTTGAACCTTGGCAAATGCTTCCATTGGCAGTCCTTCCTTCTCCTCAAAGCATGAGGTACTATCCGCAATAACTGCTGCAGCAGCATCCATCTCTGAGAAAAGGATCTTATACAAACATAAACCAAAAAAATAAATTCAATGTTAGGAATATGCAATCAAAAACATGATTATAGTTGAAAACTAGTACCTCAGCTCTAAAATCTTTTGGAAAGTGATCTTTAGCATCCCATAAAATGTCAATTTCATCCCGGTTAAGCATTAAAATATTAGATCTAACAAAAGCTGTGTTGAACATAACTCGAAACATCATCATTTCATGCTCCATGTCACCATTCAAGTTAATGCCTTCAATGACAACGTCTCCTTGAATATGGCAATTGATATCGATTTTAATAAGTTCACACTCTCCCTGCAACACGATAGCAACAAAATTGCACAACAATTACACAAGAAAGATCAGATTCTAGATGCATCTTGCTGGCAAGAATAAATAAGTTGATCAACAATATCAATTAGAACAGTAAAAATTTCAACATACGAAAAATATTTATTAAAATTTAAAGAACACGGGCCCATTCTGAACTCAATTGGGCACTTTGTAAGGCCTAGAAGCATAAGGTGTATTGAAACTTGACTAGGATCTCCTAAATGCTGAACATAGATTATACAAACTTATTTCCCCTTTCTTCCTACAAGTATTTTCTCCCTCTTTTTTCTTTTACATTTTTGGGATATTGGTGCCAAGCGCAGCCTCTTGGATCAAAACTAAGACTCATGTTGAATGAAGCTCTCATATTTTTTCAAGGAGGAATAAATAACTACATGCAGTTCATCAGTATTGCTACATGGATATGTTCAAAGGTTCAAGCTATCAAAACATAATTATCATAGTTCAACTCAATAACTAGAAAAACAAGTTTGAGCTGCAAGTGAATGGTTTATAATTTAAAGTTTAAACATTCTGAAGTTGTATAAGACAATTTATAAAGTACTCTACAAGTCAGAATGGCCTTAATTGAAATCAGCATTGAAGGAGGAAAATGAAGATATTTATCCCTATTACATCTCTGAGCCTGTTAGCCACAATTGATGAGATAGCAAGTAAACTCAAGAACATAGCTACTGATAGATTTCAGCAACTTTCGGCAAAATAACAGAAACACCATAGTCTTTTTATCTACTAAACAATTATCTTATCTGCCAAAATGTTAGGGTACTAGTTTTCATGCTAAATGCAATGAGTGCATGCCTCCTATAAAGAAGTGCAGGCTCCGAAATCACATCACCAACAAATTGTAAATCCGGAAAGAGGAGTTCAAGCTCCGGAAAGAGGAGGCACTAGAACTCAGAGCAATCCATTTGGAAGCATGAGGTAAATTCACATACCTGCTTGTAGGCCCGGACATTTTTGCTTCTCTTTGGCGTTGAGTACAACATTTTTGGATTTTTATCAGCACTAAAGGGATCCTGTCCATAAATTCTAAACAGAGGATGACAACCACCCTCCCCATCAAAGTTTGGGAAGCATCTAAGAATGACGCAGTCCAACATGAGTGACCTGTCCAGGGGTGGCCAATCTATAGCGACATTCCTCCTGGAAACATACAGCAGATACCTCAGTTGCGAAGGGACTGGATTCAAGGGCGTCAACAAATGCAAAAGCTCGTGCGGAGCCTGCCTGTAAACCATATCCAAAGTCCTCTGCTCCCCAGTATAAACCTTCCTATAAATCAACAATGCAGACAACATGAAAGCCAAAACGGGCCATCCGCCACGTTCACAATGCATCAACAACACATTCTGCTGGCCAAGCGAAAGCCAGCTTTCACCAGACCTCAAAAAATGGTGGATGAGCTCCATTTTGAGCACGGGACAACCCTCGTAGTGGCGAGGGTAGTCCATGATAGTAATGTCGTACTCAGACATTATATTTGCCATCTGACTCTTCATATTTTCCTCGCGGAAATTGAAAATCAGAATCGAAGCATCAGGCAAGTTCTCCCTAAGCTGACGAACTATCCCATCCATGTACACTTTGTAATTCTCTTCATTCCAAGCATCCGTGGTGAAGCAACAATCAAAAACTACATTCACGGTAAATTTCAATTATTAATTCCAAAAACAATCACTAACTCGAGCCTAAGTCCTAATAATAATAACAATAACAAGCTAAATTCAAATTGAACAGATTCCGTTCATGTTCATTGCCGCTTTTCCAAGCAATCAAACAGAGATATCTAACGTTCCTTGAATCGTCAATTGCGAATTCATTTTTCAGAAAATGAGAATGAGAAAAAGAGAGAAAGTACCGTAAACTCGCTCGCAGATCTCGAGGAGGCCATCAGGAGGCTTGCGGAAGAACAATTTGCGGAGCATAGCCATGTCCGCGAAGCTTCAGATTCAGGCTTCGCCAACCCTATCGCAGGCGATGGATTCGAGAACCAGAAATTCTCATTCAGCGGAAGGGAAAAGGTGGAAGGATTTGCCTTAAGCTTTACGGCAGAAAATGGCGAAGCAGCGGTTTCGCGGAACAATGCGGGAACGAACGAAAAGAGAGTTTGGATTTATGTTTGCTTCTGTTTCTCTCTTTTTTGTTTTTCAGTGAAAAGAAAAGGAAAGGATTGTGGGGGTGATGGGTCCGTTTGCCTTTTTTCCCATAAGACTGCAGCTCAGATTTACCAACCGACTAACAGAGTAACCGGTTGCTGACGTGGACACCTCTCCATCCGACACGACATCCATGACGGGTAATTTCTTAATTCTAATTACTCTAGTTTTCCGTTTCCGGAAAACTTTCCCGTAATGTAACAGTCTTCAGTTCCCTCTGGCGAGACACGTGTGTCCATCATTGCTGGATGAGTATTTGTTTTTAGCTGTTACCACCGGCACGTGGGATTTCCATCTAGATGCCTCGACCCAAGACTATATCATATCAAATAACAAAATCTTTATTGCATTATTATTACTATTACTATTATTATTATTATTATTATATTACTTTTAAGATTTACTGCATTTATTTTAAAATTATTATTATCAAAATTAATATATTTATAATATACCACAATTTATAATTTGATAATATAAAAATTTATATACCATCGATACATGTACTTTATTTTCTCTTATTTTATTATATATATATATATAAATAACTCAAATTTATCATTGTGGAATATAATTCAAAGTTATAAACAAAGGTACGCGCCACTTTTTATTGAGCAAATGTTATATTCTTATTTTCGAATTCGGAATTGCAAATGCAAAAACTAGAGCCGTAAAGCGGAATAATTGGAAATACCAAGTTATTTTGCAGAATTTATGAGATAAAGAAACGGGGTTTTGATCGGAAATTGGTTACAGTTAGAGCAATTATTCTGGTTGAAGCTTTATCAAGGATTAAAATTAAAAAGGGAAAGAAGAGAGGAGGGGGAACATATATATTGTGTTGTCAGAAAACGAGGAGAAAGTTACATAATAATAAATAAAGGGGTTCGTTCGGTTAAGGCACATATAAATTTTAGTGCCTTATAAGACACTAACTTTGGAGTTTGGACCACCAAACAACTCACGTGATAATTAAGTAGCAGTATTTTAGAAAGTGAGCATTTGAGTTTGATAGCACATGTTTGAAGATTCGTACAAGAATCCACCAACAAACTTCACCAACACAACTACCTATAATTAAAACTTCTATGGCTCGTTAATTGTTAAACAATTAGCACTGTTTTTGGGTTGGCCATTTTGATCTATAACTTTAAACTTATTTTCAACAAATCTATGCCAGTGACCGAATCTTGTTTGAGGACCATCTCTGTTTCAATGCTTCCTTAATGTGTATGTGATAAACATTGGAACTAACATCCTTTGGTTGGTTGCAAGGCTTGTATACTGTCTTACCGTTACCAAAATTCAGAGAGAAGGAAATATAGAGATAACTTAAATAGTTGATCCAATCTTTAGGGTGAACTCTGGTATGACTTCTTCTAAAGTACCTTTATGTTAAGGCTGTATCTACGTTCCCTTGCATCTTAGTCTTTTAAATGTAATTATATTTTGCACTTTTAATTTCAAATGCATTCATATTTTAATTTGATGAGTCTTGTGGTGGGTCAAAGTGTGAGAAGCAGTCGATTTTCATGAGTCACAAATTTGATGATATAGCATGCTCTGTTGGCTTGTTAAGTTTTTTTTTTCTTCATATTTTTCTATGTATTTTTGTAAAAAAAATATATATAATGATGACAATTTTCAATTAAATAAGTTTAATAGGATTCAATAATGAATATTATTAACCTAATCTAGATCGTTTAGTCTATTTGAATAATTTAAATTGATCTAATTATTTTTTAGTCTTAAATTAAAAAAGTTTAATCTAATTTGACTTATTATGTTAAGACAATTTTGACATGTTTATATATGATTATCGTTCTCGACTAATATCTTAAAAATTATACATAATTTTATTTTTTCATCCATGAGAATGAACTTGTTATTAAAGAAATTTACAACAACTCACATACTTTATTTAACTATTTGAATTAGACCTCGTCAATGTAATCATTCATAACTTATAGATCATATTATTATATTGTGACCAATCACTAACTTAATTAGACTCAATTGTTATAACTCTCTACTCCACTAAACATTAATTGAGTTGGTGTTTTTTTTTATATGTACATAAAAAAGATTAAAACAAAATAAAAATGAATGTTGCAAGAAAAACAATAATGTAAGAAGCCTAAAATATAAAACATAAAATTAAGAGTTTAAAATATAATTATTGTTTTTATCGTAAATTCATTGATATTGTTAAGTTCACCGTATTTAAAGTATAATTTATTTTGGGTTTCGTTAGAATATCACGATTTTATCCTTTAAAAAAATGTTTTAGTTAGTTAAAGAGAAATAATAATATTTGGAAAACTAAACTATAGAGATATTCCTTAATACAATGAAGCATTGCAAATAAGATGACTATAGTAGAATTTAATTAGACCGAAACTAAAATCTAAGACATTAATATTTGATGTTATCCAAGAGAGAAAAATAAAGTGTTATTGTCATTCAAGAATGACTTATGAATGCATTTTTCTAAATTTAATTTTTTATATTGTCATCTATATATATATATACATTAGTATGAATAGCCATTAATTATGAGATTTTAATTTAAAATACAATTTATATGATAATAATTAATAAAATATAATTACTTGTTTATTAGTTTATGCGTTTAAGTATTTTTTATAATTTCAAAATATTTTTTATTTTATAATTAAAAAGTTAATTATAAAGAATTCATAAATCAATTTATCCAGTAATGAGTTTAATATATTTATTGACCTTATTATAACTAATGCATATGATATTTGAGATAATTGATATATACAATAATGAGTTTAATTTTTTGACCCGATTATTTTATAATCAATATACATATTAATAATAATATTATATTTTGCACAACCTTTAATTATGAAGTTTTTTTTTATAAATAATTTAACTTTTCATATTTGCCATAACTCTATTTAAAAAAATTGAAAACATTAATATCAGTATATATTAAATAAAATATTTCATTTATTTTTACGTCTGAAGAAATATATATATATATATATATATATATA